TATATTTTTAAAAGCTTTTAGTAATTAAATTATTATAAAGTAGGTTTAAAAAATAAATTCCTAGCCTTATTAATACTTTTTATTTTTTAAAAAAAGCTCTACCCCTTTATTATTAATCCGCGGGTAAAAAAAATAATAATATTTAATAAAAAGCTATAAATTATAGGCATCCCCTATTATTATTACTTTAACCTAAAAAACATAATAAATTAGCTATAAAATATAAAAAAAAAAATATTAAAAACTTACTGGCTTGCAAGTTTTATTATAATAAAAATAAGTCTTGTATAAAATTAATACAATAGTATTAAATTTATAACTAAACTAAAATAACATGTTACTATTATTTAAATTACTAGTTTTTAGTGCGGACTAAAAGCATATTAAGTATTATAATATTATTAAATAAATAGGCACATGTAATAAAACCTTGTAAATTTTACTAGCTTTTTTACCCTTTTTAGGCTTTTTTTTTTTTTTATTATTCGCGGCGCCCTTTTTTTACTTACCTTTTTTTTTTAAATTATTTAAAAAACCTTTATTATTCCCGTTGCCGTTTTTAATAATAATAGTAATAATTTTTAGTAAAAAAGGAAAATAAATTTTAAACCTTATTATAGGCGCCATAAGATTAAATAGCTAGTAAAAAAATAAAAAAACAAGATATTAAACTTTAAAAAATAAAATAGGAAAACTAAAAAAATAAAATAAAAAAATTAAAAAAGTTAAAAAAAAAAAAAAAAACCAGGAAGTAAATAAAAATTTATTTTTTTATATTTAACTACCTGCATAACACTAATAATATAATATTATAATAACTATATTAACCTTTTTATTATTTATAAAACACTGCTTATTTATAATTTATTAATACTTAAATTAATAAAAAGTAACTTAAAACTTTTATTATTTACTAAAATAGCTACCTTAGCCACTAAAAGCAAAGCTATTTAAAAATAAAACACTAATAAAAAAATATTATTTTAAGCCTTAAAATAACCCCGCATTTAATAATAAACTATTTTAAATAAAAAAATTAAATAATTAAACGCAAAACCAAAGCAAAATAATAGTAAAACATGTTTATTATAAAAATTAAAGCTATTTAAAAATTAGGATAATCTTAATTAAAAAAGGGCTAAGTTATTACACCCACGGGTGCCAAGCCCTAATAAAATAAAAAAACTAATAAAATAAAAATCATAATAATATTAACCTAACACGCAATAATAATATTACCACCATTTTAATAATATATTTAAGGCCAACGCCCTAGTAAAAAATAGTTAGCCAAGAGTTAGTCTTTATATATTCTAGGCCTTAAGATTTAATATTAATCCCCTATTAAATAGCCTCTTAGTACTTTGTTTTGTACCTGGTTAGCCTACTTAAGGTTTTCACATTTACAGTGCCCTAAAAAAATTAATAATTTATTTTTTTTTTAATACCTTGCTTTAGGTTCTTGTAATATATTTTTATAGTATTAATATTTTTAAGTTATAATAAAAAAGGGCTATCTTGCCTTTTAAATATAGCCTATAAATTTTTTTTTAATAGCCACTTTTTTTTAATATAGGTAATTATATTTTGGTTCCCTCCGCAAGCAGTAATTACTTTTTAAATTAACTTTAGGTATTTAGCTTTAATTTTTTAATATTTAAGGGCTGTTATAAGGTTTTAGTAAATTTTTTTATTTTTTTTTTTTACCTAAAGAGTGCTATTTAAGTTAGATTTTCTTGCTTTTTATAAAAAAAAAAAAAAATTTTTACTAAAATATTAAAGTATAGTATTACCGCAGTGTACCTGGCAAAGTAAATATAAAACTTTTTTTTTAATTTAGTAAGTGCCTTTTAAATAACTACTTGCTTGCTAGTAAAGTTATTAGTAATAATATAGCATGGGTTTTAATTTAAATACTAGCTTTTAATAATTTAAAGGCCCCCTTTTATTATATTATTATTTTAATTACTATGTAGCATAAAGGTAATAAAAATATAAGTTTTTTACTTATTTTAAACTATAACTATTATTAAATACCACTTTAACTTATTAGTATTATAAATTAAGTTTATTAAAAAGATAATTCCCTGTTTTCCTAGTAAATTAAGGCTATATTTTTTTATAAAAATAATTCCCCTATGCTTTTTAGATTTATATACTAAAGCAAAGTAATATTTTTACTTTTTAAGTATTTTAGTAAGCTTTTCCAGCTACTTTAATACTACTAATTTAGTATAAGTTTTTTATATATTAACTTAAATATATTTTATTACTATAATAGCGTTGCAAATATTATTAGTAATTATTTAAGCGCCTTTAACAAGCTTAAAGGCTTTAAGATTTTTATTTACAGGCTGGTTAAAGGTATCTAAAACTTTGTAAGCTTTATATCCCGTTTAGTACTAAATTATAGCTATTTTTTAAAGGCCTAAACTAAGCTTTTTAATATTATTAATATTATAGCTAATATAGCTATTATAAGAGCTTTGCTTAATAAGAATTATATTTAAATTAACTATATTTAGCTATTTAATAATTTAAATTTTGCATGGGTAGGTAACTAGCTTTTAATTAGGCTTATTTTATTAATAATTCTTGCTTTTAATTAAAGGTTTTTAGGCTTTTTTACTTAAAAAATAATATTTATAGTATATTTATATTTTACTAGTTTTAGTAGGCTTTTTTTTCTTGTTAAAAATAAAGAGATGGTTAACCTAGGGCTAGAAAATATTAAATTTAGCCTTTATTAAGGTAAATCCTTTTTTAATAGTATTATAAAAACGCTGGCGGAGCTTATCTAGATTAGGGGGGAGGTTAAAAAAAGTAAAAGTAAATATTTTAAATAGTAAAAATAGTATAAAAGTATTAAAAAAAGAGTTTTAAATAGCTTTAATTTTTTAAATAAATAGTGGTTTTTTTTTCGCGTGCCATGTTTTAAGGGGCTTAAAATTATATAGTACTTGCTATATAAAATAAAGCCCTATTTTATAAACACGTCCCCTAAGTAAACCTTACATGCTACTTTATTTATAATTAAGCTCCTAATTTTACAAGCTTGCAGCGCTATAAAAATATAATAAAAATTTAAATAAAGTAAAAATATTAAAAGCGCGGGGTTAGGTTATTTTATATAAGCTTTTTTAATATTTAAATTTATAAAGTTTTAGAGTTATTTACTATTTTAATAAATAGTTAATATTTAATAATAAAATATATATTTAAATATAATGGTGCTTAACTCTAGAACTTTTTTAGTAAATTTATAAAGTTTAAATTTTGCTAAATTAGCGCAAATACTGCTTTTTAATTAGCCAAGGCTGGTTTAACCACCCCCTGTAATTATTTATTTTTAACTTTTTTTTTTTAAGAACCTTATAAGTTCTATAGGTACATTAATTTTTATGTAATCTCTTATACAGTATAATGTACTAGTATAACTTAGCAAGTTTACTATAAGTTTTAACACTAGGTCAGGCGTGGGGGAGGCTAACATAGCAAGGCCAGCGTATAGTTTTAAATTGTATAAGAACTACCATACAAACTGGAACGTATTAAATACTGACCGATGGGTGGGGCCCCCCTCTGTGGACCGTCGGTAGAACAAGTAGATCGCTCCCAGGGACCTAGAAAGAGACCATGGTACCTCTGGTAGTCTTGGAAGTTGGTAGTCTAGGAGCTAGGAATGGATGCTGTGGAGTAATCAATTTAACAAACCTCAGAGGAAGCGTTTGGGTTGAGACCGGTATACACCGGCGTGACCTCGGGAAATCATTGCCTTGGGTGGAAGCAATTTTCATCTGCTTTTCATGCGAGAATTTATTGACTCTGGGGTTTCTGAGCTCGTAGTCAACCGCTGAAGCCTACCCAGGTACTGTCAGTGACCAGGTGGCAGCCACACTACGCGGAATGCCGCACTGAGGCCCGGGCTCATTTCAGGGTCCGGTAGGGTCCGTACTCCGTAGGGCTAGAGTCTGGGAACCGTAATCCGCACTAGTAGCTTAGTCTCCGAGACTATTGCGTTGTATACACTGGTTTGAAGAACGGGGCCGCAGGTCGGGCGAGAAAGCCGTCCGAGGACGCTGCGTTTGGGTTGAGAAATAATAGTCACGCAACCTCTGCGCGAATTCGCTTGCACTAGATTCGAAATTGCTAAATGCCAATTGGACGCTCCACTTCATGGTTTGTATACTCGCTGTATGGATTTATTTTTTGCGCAAATGACACCTTGGAAGGCTTGTATGCCGTTTCTGGGATGCTCCGAATATTCATTTACCAGCAGTCGCCGGTAATACACACTAAACTCTCCCCATGAATGGTGATCTTGCCGATTACCCGGTGAGGCTAAACAAAAAAAAAGAAAGCCATCGCCTCCGCGTCGCAAGGTTTTCCATAGACTATGTAGTTGACTTCTTTGTGGAATACTGCCGGGATTCATCCAGCACCATAGTTCTAAGGTGCTGCGAGGTGGACCTTTCCTGTCCTGATTCATGAGTGAGCAGCAACGGATTCTGAACTTCTGAATATCTAGTTAACAACACAGGTGCGCATCACCAACAGTCAGGGCAAAGGGATAAGCTGCTACATACGCGGTCCAGTTATATAGGCAATAATACCATATCCATTGCTACTGCAGTCCACAGCAACATGCACTGATTGTGCTGTGGTAGTCAGTGCTACACCAAGCAATGACTAAGAGGCCGGCTGCTCAAGCAAAACCGTTCCTTCTAGGTGCGGGCCTCCTGTGCTAGTGCGTCTCCTATGGAAGTGGGGAATACTCTATACTAGTTTCCAGCTCAAGGATGACAATTACCACCACGGTCAAGGAGGAGTTGTCGCCTCGTCCAAGGAGGCCTTGGTGGTCACATTGATTCTAAACCAGTGGAGTGGCTCCTCGCTACTGAAAAAGCCCAGCAAACGCAACCTTTATCAATTGCTGCGTTCTTCTCCATCCTCGGTCTTGAACGTTTTTCTCGCACTATTCGCGTTGCGTCAAGACAGCGATGCTGTTGGGATTCCTCGTAAAGTCTGTCCTTGTAGGACTTGCCCTTGGGTCTCAACTGCATTCACATCATGCCCATCACCACCACCACCACCTTCAAAAACACCATTCCACACAAGAGGCAGTCGCAGACCTCGTCGAAACACCTGGTGCAGCGCATTCCGCCGGAGATCTCAATCGTGTAATCCCTCGAGCCATCTTAGAGGAGAATAGGGGAGTTTTCGCGCATTTCATGGTAAGCATAAGCACTTTTCGACCTATTCACGCAACTTCCAATTCTTACCAAGCTCAGGTCGAGAATGCTCGTACGTGGTTTGCCGATACATGGGAGGTTGACATCAGCTTGGCCAAAGCTGCGCATTTGGACGCCTTTGCCCTGAACTTCGCGGCGTCTCTTACAGACCTGCGGCCTTTGCAAACGGCCTTTGCCGTGGCGGAAAAACTGGGGTTCAGCCTCTTTTTCTCCTTCGACTATGCTGGCGCTGGCCCCTTTGAGAAAGACGTCGTGATAGACATCATTGGCCAATTCCAGTCGTCGCCGGCTTATTATACATACAAAGGGAAACCGCTGGTCTCGACGTTCGAGGGTCCCGGGAACGCTGCAGACTGGAAGGACATCAAAGCCAAGACCAACTGCTTTTTCATTCCGTCCTGGTCGTCCCTTGGTGCAAAGGAGGCGCTCAAGCTGGGCACGCCGGATGGGCTCTTCAGTTGGGCGGCCTGGCCGTGGGGGAATCAGGACATGGATACTTACGTTGACGCGTCCTATCTTGATTATCTGGATCAGGCTGGGGGCAAGGCGTATATGATGCCCGTCTCCCCGTGGTTCTACACCAATCTTCCGGGTTACGATAAGAATTGGATATGGCGAGGTGAGCTCGATCAGAAAGAAATAGTACAGAACGAACGGGATGCTGACGAGTGTGGTAGGTGACGACCTCTGGCGAGACCGCTGGGAAGAGGTTATGGTAGTGCAGCCTGATTTCGTTCAGATCATCAGCTGGAATGACTACGGGGAGTCGCATTACATCGGCCCGTTACACGACATTGACAACTACGAGGCATTCAGCGTGGGCAAGGCGCCCTTCAACTATGCCAAGGGCATGAAGCATGATGGGTGGAGGCTCTTCCTACCCTACTACATCGACACCTACAAATATGGGAGGGCATCCATTTCGCATGAAGGCGTGGTGGGCTGGTATCGCCCGAATCCTGCTGCTGCGTGCGATGATGGCGGTACCACAGGGAATACCGCCAGCCAACTGCAATATGAGTTCCAGCCAACAGAGGTTGCGCAGGACAAGATCTTCTATTCAGCCCTGCTAACCTCCTTGGCCACGGTCACCGTCACTGTTGGCGGCGTGTCTATTCCTGCCACCTGGCAAGATATCCCAGACGGCGGCGTGGGGGTCTATCATGGCAGCGTTGGATATGGTGCAGGTTTCTATGGGGAGGTGAAGATTGCCATTTCTCGCTCTGGAAGCACCATTGCCGAATTTACTAGTCCTCCGATTACCACAAGCTGCCCTGAGGGCTACACCAACTGGAATGCTGTGGTCGGCGGTGCTTCGGGCCCCAGTATCTCTGCTCTCTCCCCGAAACTCGCAATCAGCGATCAGACTTGCATCGAGGGCACCGCACCGGGTAACTTCCAGGGTCTATGCGAGTTTACCTGCAAGTATGGGTACTGCCCTATTGGAGCTTGTGTATGCACTAAATTGGGCGCACCCAGAGTCAAGCCCAAGGCCACTGGGAATAAAGGATACCCCATTGCAGGTGAAGGATCCAGCTATATCGGTCTCTGCAACTTTGCGTGCAACTACGGATACTGTCCACCGGAGGCCTGTGGCGGAGTCGAGGTTGCCCTCACAGAGCCAACCGTCTCGCCTTTCCTACCGTCCGCGTGCACTTCAGGCGCAGGCCAGGGTGATCTGGTGGGACTTTGCTCGTACGCCTGCAACTACGGATTCTGTCCGATCCACGCATGCACCTGCACAAGCACCGGCGCCCTCAATCAGCCGCCCGCTGCCAACACCACGTTTACAGCGGTTTACAAGGGCGACGGTGATGACGGCGGCCTGTGCAAATTTGCCTGCCAGCGCGGGTACTGTCCCGATTCCTGCGCCAGCACGGAAGGCGAAATCCTAGTCTGCTCCGATGACGACGACGACATCGAGCCAGGGTGTGAGGACAACTCCCCACCACCCTGCGATCTCAGCCGGACCTTCACTTCCCTGGACGCCCTCGCAGCAGCCAAGGACATCCCCGACGTCTGCATATCCATGTACACGATGCAGGTCCTCATGGACATGCTGGACACCGCGCTCGCAAACTACACGGACGTGAACAACGGCTACGACGAGAAATTCGACTACTACGTCAAATACCTGCGCGACATGGTGCCCGGCGCAATCAACACGGTCATTGCCGACCACGGCAAATACGTCCAATGCGCCGAGTTGACGAACGACGGGTTCAAGGATCCGGAGCCGTGCTTTATCTACCTTACCAGCGACGTATGGACAGTCAAGTACACCTTTGTCAACGAAACCGGGTTCTACGACGAGCTGCAGGCGCAATACGGGATCCAACGCGACTGGGTGGAGGTCTCGGACGTTGTGAATAAGGACGATCACGATTGCAGGCCGAACTTTGGAAAAGCCGACAGCGTTCAGTGCCACCACATCAACCAGAAGGACAAGGATATCCCACATATGAACGCCAGCTTCGTGGTCCCCAACCCCAAGGACTCCATTGCAGGGGCACTGCCGCGGTTCCGAGATCTACAGCTTGATGTTGCCGCGACGTGGGGCGACCTTTCGTTCTTCCTGTGGGAGGGCAACGACACCGATGCTGTCGAGGCTCTTTCCACGCCCATCTTCATGCTCATGCAATCCGTCGACAGCATGGCGCAGATCAAGGCGATTGGCGAGAAGGAGAAGGAGAAGGAGGAGGAGGAGCGAAGGAACTTCATCCTCATGATCATCTCCGCCGTCCTGCTCGTTCTCCCCTTTGCCGGCGAGATTGTCGGCACTGTCACGGGGATCGGCTGGGTTGCGGATGCGGCCTTGTTGGCAGACGTGTCGGCGAACCTGGCTTTGGCGGGCTATGACATCGTGAAGGATCCAAAGTCGGCGCCGATGGAACTGCTCAATATCCTGTTTGCAGGGGGTGGGCGCACGGCGGCGAACTTTGGCAGGGCAGCGAGTGTGCGGCGTGGGATCAAGGCCGGCGATCTGGCCAAGTTTGGAGATGTGTTCAAACTGAATGATGATCTGGTCCAGAAGTTGATCAAAAAGGTCTGTTAGTAGCCGGCTTGGTTCACCAGGGGGTAGTTATAGTCATTGCTATGCACTCATCTTTGAACTTGTCACTCTGTAGTTGAAGACAAAATGATATATCTCATCCACTTTCTTTACAGAGCGACGTTGGTTATGACCGAGAGATGTGGGATAGCTCTATATGTCGAGACTATAGCCCACTGGTCAGTGACATGGAGCAATGTTACCTACAGGTAGGTAGAAAACAAAATAATGGTAAGCCATGCCTAACAATGTTAAACATACCTTGTACCGGGCTTTCGTAGCACATCTACCCAGACCTGTGGTGGAATGTGATACCTCCCTGTACTACAACTAAACCCTAACCTTTCGCACATAGGCAGTGCCTCAGGCCCCTTGGCCTGAAATGCAGTTGAAGATCTGTTCTCGCGCTCCGCCCCTCAAGGCGACTGCTACAACTACATTAATTTTTCAATGCCTCCCGTTATAGCATTGAACTGTGACCGTTCTACCTTCCGTTCTTTGCCCATAGAAGCGATTGTAGGAGCTCTCCAAGCACATACGACCATAGGGTGTGGAGAACAGGGCTTCCCGTCCGCTCAGCCGTACTTAACCCACACGCCGGCTGGTTAATAGTATGGTGGGTGACCACATGCGAATCCCAGCTGTTGTATGTTTTTTTTGCGAGCGAACCAAGCCTTTTTAGAAGGTGATGGTGGTCTGTTAAGGGCCTATGTGCGTCCTTTGCTGGCAACCAAATCTGAGAACAAGGGAAACATGCCGAAATCCATATGAGCAGGAATATGCAGGTGTGCACCCAGATATAAGTATAAGCCAAGTCAGGTCTATATATACGAAGCTTCGTCCAGTCTTGCTTAACCAATGCCTGAGCCATAACTACTCACGCAGAGGCCAACTCGCAGGCCAGGATTTCCCTCGTCACGCGATAAGCGTCCTCAAAAGCCCCAGAGATAAACCCGCGCCAGCCATCCGCAAAGTCCGATCCACAGAAATAAACCCTCCCATGCGGCTTCCGTATCTCGCTGTGGTACTTGTTCAGAAACCCGGGTTTCCGCACTGGCATCACACCACCTGCGTAGGGGTCCGCCGACCAGAGATGTGCGTAGACGGAGTTAACCTGGATCCCATCAGGCCGCAGCGACGCGATCAGGCGGAGATTGTCGACGCATGTGTTGAATTGCTGGCCCGGGTGCACGAGCAGTGTGAGGAGGGACTCACCCCCAGCCATCCCGTCGATGAAGCCGCTGGCGTACGGCATATCGCCGCCTTCGCAGGAGATGTTGAATCCGTTTTTGAACTCGGTGGATGTGTAGACAAGCAGCTTGTCGGTTGTAGCGGGGGTTGAGCCCTGCGAGAAAGCTTCCTGGCGGGGTCAAAAGCCACAGACCTCGATTTCAGCACATTCACGGGGATGGTGGAGATCACGGCCTTGGAACGATACTGCTCGCCGCTCTTGAGGGTCACCGTGACGGGGTGGTCTTCTCCCTCCGCTTGAGCGATTGCTTGCACGGGGGAGTTCAAGATCCGGTGGCCCTTGAAATCGTTAAGGATGACAAGGGCAAACCCCGTGGTGCCCGCTGCAATCTTGTACCTCATTGTCGCAGTCTCACTCATGGCCGGGTCGTAATTGCAGAGGGCGTGTGTGTGGAGGGCTTCGCCAAACGAGCAGATCTCAGGGGCGGTCCCGTTGAACGAAGCGACGTGGGCGCGTAGCATCGCCCGTTGCTCCTCGTCCAGACCCTCGATCTGATCCACCCGATCGCTGAGGCTCAGTTGGTCGATGTGCAGGTACGCCGGGTTATGCCTGATGCTGGACGCCATGTTAAAGGGGAATGGTATCACACTTCGCCCTCCTTCTCCGTCAACATCAAAGAATTTCGCCATCAAGGCCTCCATCTGCTCCATCATCGCGGCGCCCTCGACTGGGCTGTGTACCACCACTGGCTCATTCCGCCATGGCTTCTCAGCGCACTCGCAGTTTTCAGGAAACGCGACGGTCTCCTTGAAATCGTCGAGGCCGTATCTCTGCAGCTCGCTGAATACATGGGGCTGCTGCCAGTGGACCCAAGCGCCCCCGATTTCGACTTCGGAGGTTTTATTCGTCTGCGCCGTCCAGCAGCGGCCGCCAATGCGATCGCGGGCTTCGACGAGAAGCACCCTTTTGCCCCTGGATTCGAGGTCGCGAGCGGCAGTCAGACCGGCGAAACCGGCACCGATGACGATCGCATCGTACGAGGGCGAGAGATCGTCCTTGGGGGTTGACGGCATAACGGCTGCAGTGGACAGACCTGATCGCCAGATCAAATGTTAGCCAGTGGAATAGGTACGAGGTCTTTGAGGATCTATGTACCGTACTGGAAGCCATCTTCGGCGGACCAGGCAAACCCTTCTTGAGACTTGGCCATGATACTCACGCAGTTCTGCTCTGCTGTGGGAATTCTAGGAGAGCATAGAGTAATAAGGAAGGAAAACAAAAATCAAAAATCAAAAGATTGACGTTTAATACCCATCAAGGCTCGGGATCCACGGAGTGCGCGCGGGTTCCGCGGGATCCTAAAGCAGTAGGAAAGAAGGCATTTGATCAACAACCGTGAACAAAATCGATTAAGTAGCATGGGCATGTCCACTACCACTGAATCTCAAAAAAGTCCGAGATACCGAGAGCCCGAAGGGAATGCCGCCGGGACCGGGGTGACCTTGTGGCTTCCAGGGTTGGCTTAGGGCTAGTTGTCCTATGCCTCCTTTTGCACTTTGGCTGCCTGAACAGTCTGCTTCCTCCTGGCGTGTCTTATCATACGGTAGAGCAAGTTAGGGTACTATTCCAGCAAGGAAAAAATTCATTCCGCACGCTATCCACTCAAAGAAAAAGCTCCTGTCTGCCAACTCCATCACCAAACCAACCCCTCACTCCTCCCCCCACACGCCAACGCCGCACAAATCTCCTCATCCTTATCACTCTTCTCCACGTCCGCCGTGGTAAGCCTATGCTTCGCAGGCCAAATCTCCTTGCCCGCCTCCTTCTCCCTCTCAAAGTGCTCCGTAATCACCTCGCGCACCGTACTCTGGAAGAACAGCGGCGCCTTCTCGAACTTTGGATGCAGCTGGCCTGATGTGAAGACGCCGCGCTCGAGGTTCCGCTGCGTGTTGACGCAGAGGACTTTGTCTTCGCCCATTACGCGCGCGTACATGTCGCTGATCAGTCTGAAGTCGGACTCGGCGGAGTGTCGGTTTCGGTAGACCTCGTAGGCCATTTTGCTGCTGTCTGGTCCGCGGGGGAGGAACTTCTGGACCATTATGAAGTGGGGGCTGGATTTGTTAACATCGTAGTCTTGAAGGGGAAGATATGGGATGCTGGGTGGAGGCTTACGAGATAACCATGGCCGACATGGGGAAGTAATACGTGCTAGCAGTATACAGACCCTTTTGAATCTGTTCTTCGTTCGGATCGCAGTGGTGCTGGATATGTCCGTCTTTCGTGTCGCTGTCGAAGGAGTCCAGGTTGAGGAAGTTGGGGATATCAGAATGCGTCGTCGGACAGTGGTAGCACTCGTTGAAGTTATCGGCCAGGATCTTCCAGTTATACTGCCCGTCCAGCTCATACGTGTGGTCAAGGTCGTAGTCCTCAAACTTAAAGCCGAGCTTCTGGTATCGCTCTTGTGTGTCCACGTCCTTGAAGTGCTCTTCCCACGGCACCTCGGGGACCTCCTTTGCGTCGAGATTCACCCAGATGAACCCGTTGACGTCGACCTTGACATGGATCGGCAGGAGACCGTTGCTCTCTTTGTCGAAGTCCAGCCCCTGGTAGCCTGTTGCTTTGGCAAGCTTGCCGTTTAGGCCATATGACCAGCCGTGGTAGCGGCAGGCGAGGATCTTTGCGTTTCCGCAGCCCTCCTTCTCGACGACGGGATAGGCGCGGTGGCGGCAGATGTTGTGGAATGCGTTGATGTTGCCGGTGCGGTCTCGGATGATGATGATGTCAAAGCCGGCAAGTTCGTAGCGCAGCCAGTCGCCTGCTTCTTTGACCCGTGAGCTATGGGTCATGAACAGCCAGCGTTTGGAGAAGATGGCGCGGCGCTCCAGCTCGTACATCTCGGGCGATGTGTACCATGATGCTGGCAGGGCACGGATGGGCTGTTGTTTGGCTTCTGGCTTGGGGGCGTTGCTGCCGAAGCCGAAGTAGTGTAGGACTCCTGATGACATGGTGAATATATAACTTCAAGAAGACAAGAGGTATGTTTGCTAGGACGGGAATTTGAAGGAGGTCATGGCCTCTTTCTTATACTCCCGTCCTGTTGATATCAGGCGCATCTCCACCTACTCAGACTGGGTCAATCTCGGGATCATCATCCGAAATCAGCACAAAGTGATTGGATGCCAGTCCACCAAGCAAAACTGCAGATTTGTGGCAGCAGAAAGCAGTGGGTAGAGTTGCTTGGGCACTCTGTTGACACGTCGGTAACCCCGAAGACTGCATTGCTTGCTGGTCGTGCGCCAGCCACATGCCCTATCTCGGGTTCCATTCCCGACGCCCCCCCCCCATGCACAGGCGAGGCGCCTTGCCACAAACAGAATGACCTCAGGAGAGCATTATAGCCTATGAGCATCCTGCAACAGGGGAAAAAGGGTTCAGAATGGCCCACAAGGTGCATTAGGCTGGCAACTGAGCTCCCGATCAGAGTGCTGGTGCTCGGGTGAACCGAGGCGTAGAGATCCACTCATTGCTTTGTGTACCGACAAATACCGGAATCGAATTGATATCGAATTGTTATAATTGGCTGCCAACCATCTGAATACATCTCTACTCCAACTTCTCTCCACTGACCCCGCAACTGCTGCCCCCTTTGGCAGCTGCAGCCGATGCACTCCGCACAGATCGGCTCGGCTCGGGACGGTTCCTTATATCTATTCTCTAATGACCCAGTCGACCCGGGAGGGCCGAGACACAACGTCTCCAAGACCAGACCACAATGCAACCTATCCCCCGATCAGAGACACGGAAGACCCGAAGGGCTGCCATTGCGTAAGTATTGAGCCATTGTTTTTTTCATGTCCATACTCCGGGCTCTGATGACGATGCCACGTCGGCAGGTGTGCCGCTTGCCGCCACAGCAAGATCAAGTGCTCCGGTGACGAGCCTTGCCTCAATTGCCGGCGCCGATCGCTGGATTGTCAGTATACCGAGGGGAACAGTAAGGTCTTGGTCGATGAGCAGTAGGCCACTTTACGCTTCTGGATGGGAAGTGCGCTGAAACAGCACTAGATACCTGCATTACCTGCAGCGGCAGGCATACAACTGGCAACGGGCCACCGGCGTCAAGCGTCCTCGCGATGAATGCTTCCAATTTGAGAATGATGTAGACCGTGCGAAGCCTCCGACGCCTAGACCAACCCCAGGCACGCCTGCGAACGACCTATCGTGCAGTATCTGGACGAGTCCGTTTACTCTCCCGACGACTGTCCTCAAGGATACCCATCAGGAGCAGCGGAAATGGAGTCAGTCATTCTGCACACCTTTCTTGGTTTTTTTTCCCTAACAAGTCACAGTCTGGCTGGCGCCCTCATCGCCATGGTCTCTCACGCGGCGCCTCATCGTCATGATGGCCGACAAGTTCGACCATGACTCTGCCCACAATCTCCCGCAGCTGTATCTGGACGGCGACATCTACCCCGTCGCCTGGAACAGCATCACACCTCTGCCTCTAGGCCAAGGCCCCGTCGACACGGGCGACCTCCCCTCGCTCGACTACGCCCTGTATCTCTTCAACATCGTCCGATTCCGCCTAGGACAAGGCTACCGATTCTTCGAGTCCGATCTTTTTACAGCCCGGATGAACCGCTTCTACCAAACCCGGCCAAGCGAGGCAGCCGCCGAGCCCCGGTTCTGGTTCGTCCAGTTCCTTATGGTCCTAGCGCTGGGGAACGCGTTTCTCGCCAGGCCGCGCAGCCAGAAGGATCCGCCGGGCTCGAAGTACTTTGCGCGCGCTATGGCTGCTATGCCGCCGTTTACGTCGACGGGGAAGGATAGCTTACTGGCTATTGAGGCGTTGGCGCTTGTTAGTTTGTACTTGTATGCTATTGACCACAGAGAGGCGGCGCATGTCCATGTAAGCTACCTACCTATAGCAAAATCCTATAACCGGCACTATTAACGATAATTCCGCGGGCAACAGATCGGCCAAGCAATCAGGATAGCTCAACTCGAAGGGATGCACACGCAGCTCCCGGAAGAAGTCCTCGGGGCTGCAACGGTTGCTCGGTGCCGAAATCTCTGGTGGTCACTGTATATACTCGACCGTCACCTTTCGCCGTCGCTGGGTCTCCCGCTTACAACGCGGGACAGCGACATCACGACGCTGATTGACCCGCCGGACGAGGAACAGCACGACCGCACGTTCAGTTTGCAGGTGCGGATCACACGGATGCTTTCTTTTATCGTTAGCAGTAAGCTGGTCTTTATCATGAACGTGCTATTGTTTGGTGTCTAACATGTACAAGCAATATACGAAACGGAGAAAACCCAGCTCGGCACCTTCCTTGAAATCACCCGGAGTATCCTAGAAACGATGGCCAAATACGCGGAGGAAATCGAAAGGATGCTTGATCCGCTTACGCAAGGTCGAGGGGTTAGTGTGCCTGAAGAGTCACGGCATACGATCCTGCTGTATCACCAGGTACGTTGATTCCGAGTGCTGGTGTACCGTGCCTACGTACCTATCTAAGCTCCTATGGCTGTGCCCTAACTCATCCGACCGTAGTGCGTCATCGTCGCGACCCGCCCCCTCCTCCTCTCCGTCCTGAAAGAGCGGCTCGAAAAGCTCGGCAGAGCAGAAGAGAACTGGCAGAAGTTCCTCGCCCTACCCAAATCCCTAATCGCGACTGGGATAAAATCCGCCGAGAAAACGCTGCAGATACTGGGCGATGAGAATGGATTACTGGGTAAGTCAACGGGCCCGCATCACTTAGCTGTTGAGGAATAAAATGAGCTCTGTCCTAATTGTACGGACGGAACAGAAACATTCCTCGCCTTCGACCTTGAACTGACATACGCCGCGGCGCTGCATCTCACCATGGCGAATGCATTGTTCCCCCCTCCACCCGAGCACCGCATGCTCTACAGCCAGAAGGCCCATGGCATCCTGAACGAGCTCATTCTGTACGGCAACCGTGTAGCGGAAGCACGGCAACGCGAGCTCAGCCGAGTCGAGGACCTCTTCCAGCAGTTCTCGCGGCAGGTTGAGGAGCAGGGTCTTCGGCAGTTGACGCTCTCTGAGGCTGTGCCAGTGCCGCCTGTTTCTGCGGCTGCTGCGGGTGGTTTGAATGGCAATAACGTCTCGCAGGTACCCCGTACTCTGGAAGACAGAACCATTGGAGAACCACGGCTAGAGTCAGAGCCAGAGGCGGGGGTTCTCCTGGAGACCGAGAAAATCCCGCACATCAATCTCCAAAGCAATTCGCCGTTGCAGGGGCCAGAGGATTTGGGGACAGCTGTCAACACAGTCGGGTTCGACAGTTTTGGCATATCGTCGGATGAGTTTCTTTCTATTGTTGATCAGATTGCGAACCCTGGGCTGGGTTATGGGGAGCTGGATATTCGGCCGGAGTGGTTGGCTGCGGCGGGGGAGGTTTGGTCTGTGGGTGAGACTTTCTAGTAATAAGGTCAAACGATGATATAAAATTGCGAGAGACGATTAAACGTGTACTATCAGTACCTATACCCATATATCCATCAACAGCACCCAGGCTGGATAAATGTCCTGGATTTCGTTGTAGCATTTCAATGTTCAGGGACCTATGGAATGAGCCCTAACCACCATACCTAGATTCATATATCCCGTCATGCCCAATCACCAATGCAGGAAGACCATAAAGCAGCCCATCCAAGCCCAGGACTACACCGAGCCCGAATTATCCGCACACGAAAACGCCCGCCTCCCCCCCTTAGTCGCATAACTCTCCATAATCGCAACAACACACCCATACGTCCCAGCAACAGTCAAAAAGCATCCTACAGCCACCACAAATCCCGCCCAAAACACCTTAACACACCAGAACCCGCCCCGTACCCTCTTTTCCTTCCCCCAGTTATCAAACAGCCACATACACCCCATCGGCTGGAAACACATCAGCGTCCCTAGCAACGCGCCGATCAGCGAGACAAGCGAGTCAAAGACGGGGATGGTGTTCGCGATGATAAATGCGACTATTGTGATTGAGAGCGTGCACGATAGCCAGGTGATCCAGTGTGTTGGCGTGTTTGCGGTCAGATGGGGCGTGCCGCGGAGGAGGCTGATGAAGATGAATTTCGCGGGAATCTATACCTCACATTGTCAGCCCACATACACCTTTCTTTTCACGTCCGTCATGTAGTATAATGGGGTAGGTAGGGGGTCCTACATGCGAACAAATCGTCGTCGTAACAACCAACCCCGGCATCGCAATCCCATAACAAACCTGCTTGATCAACTGCCCCGCCGACCCCAGCGCCGGACTCGCGACATACGAGCCACAGAAGTAATACACCACGCAGCCAACGGCAATATACACGGCCGTGACGGAGCCCTGGCAGATCAAGAGCGCCCGGGTATACTGTCTTGGCTCGCGCATTTCGGAGACGATGGCGAAGAAGCCGGGGGTGCCGGAGAACGCGAAGACTAGGTTTGAGACCGCGGTGATGCCCGATGGGAAGGAGGGGTGGCCGATGAGTTGGTAGTCTGGGCTCCAGGGGGTTGGTGCTGCTGCGGGTTGGGATTGCAGGCCGACGGCTATGCTGACGATTATCACTGTGGGAGAGGTTAGGTACGGTACGCTTTAGCACGGGGGGGTTATTGTTCGGTCCATGGGTGGGTATGTGGGTATGGTACCAGCAGTAAGAATACTCGGAAGCCCGATCCAGGCAAACCAAGTGATCTTCCCCAGGGTGCGGACACTGCTACACGCACACCCGATGACGGCTGCAACGGCCGTAAACACCGCGGTGCAAGTCCCATGGCTTGAGACGGCATTTAGCCCGATTGAGATGCCCAGGATGCCGGAGCCAACGACGAATATCCAATCTGGAGCGGCCGTTAGCGAAATCATCCAACATTTAGTAAGGTGGGAAATATGTCGAGCAAGGTATACAAAGACAAAAGACCGCAGCCAGAATCACCCGTCCAATGGCCCCAAACAACAACCCCCCAACGTCATCAATACTGTACACCTCGGGATGATTCAGCTTGAACGTCCCAATCACGTAGTTGGACCAGGTGATTATGCACGCAATCCCGACCATGCACAGGACCCCAGGCACAATCCCCAGCGTGTCGAAGGCCGTTGGGATCGCAAGCACGCCAAGCCCGATCTGGGTCTTCATCATGAGGATCACTGTTCCTACCAGGCCGAGCTGGGTGAGGTTAGTACAAGTCATGCCCGAGCAACTGACAAGGAACCTCTCTCCAAGTCCAGAGAGACGAGGCATACATTACGGTAGTTAGGTCCGTCCTCGGTTATCTCGCCAAAGACGACATCGTGGCTTGGAGGTTGCTGAGAGTGTACAGAGCCTGCTTTGGCTTTGTCTCGTTCCTGGTGGTGTGGTTGCTCGGCGATATCCATGTTGGTAGGGGGTAAAGAAGACTGGAGATGTGGTAGGTTGGGACTCGGACACCGCGACTTCCCCATACATTTTTATTCTACTGCTACATTCCATATAGCCAATCAGTTTCCACACAATAAACCCCTCATTATGCACGTCGGATCTCCCTGGCCAGGGCAAGAGATGCGAGGGCAATTGGAGGTATAGCTACGGTATCAATCTCGCGAGCTTTGAGGATATCGGAAGGGGTCCCGTAGTCATTTTCTTAGCTTAGTACATAGACCACGCGATTGGACATGGGAGCTTCATACCCCTCATTCTCCGATATCATATATCTATATCCATCGTCATGACCGGTAGCGTTTCCGCAGCGGGACGATAACATGCGGGGGGTTCAGCGTCGAACTGATATGCATGCGAGCGGATTCGGATTCCAGATCTGGTGATTGATACCGGCAGAGCATGATTTTGAAAGATCTGATAGTACGGAGTACGATAGGCATAGCCGAGAAACGTACCCTAGACATCTGAATTGAGTATGGTACTTGACAACACTGGAAGACAAGCATATATTTTGTCCCATGCTTAACACGAGATACTCTGATATCTAGCCTAGAACAAAAGTTATAAGCCCTCAAAAGTAACTAGCAACAGCCTCCCCCATAACATCCATCCGTGGAGTAATCCCCAACCCCGGCAGCACAGGCGCCTTGACCCTCCCATCCACCACCTCAAACGGCCCATCCGCCGTCTTCAGCGTAACCATATCCCTCGTCTCCAGAATACACCTCAGATACCTTTCTGGCACAGTCTGCCCCATATGCACAATCGCCGCAAACGATATATCCGAGCCCACCGTATCCTGCACACTAAACGTATACCCGGCCGCAATGCACATATCCCTCACCCGACGACATCTAGTCAGTCCACCAGTCTTCGAGATCTTCATGTTGACCCCCTCAACCGCGTCGTCGGCCATCATCTGCACGATCGAGGCGTCGGTCACGGCCAGCTCATCAAAGTAAATGGGGACGTCTGTGCGGCGCCGCAGACTCACACACTCGCGCCACGTCGCACAGGGCGCCTCAAGAATAAAGTCCAAACCAGCCGGGAGAAGCCGAAGCATGCGCAGCGCGCTCTCAACAGTCAAGCCGCCGTTCGCATCAACCAGGAACATCTCGCCAGCCTGCCGATCCGCAAGCGCAGCGGCGATACTCGCTGCGTCGGCCGCCGGCTCCCCCGCAATCTTGATCGAGCGCCCGATGTACCCGCGCCTCCGGTGCTCGTCGACCCTGGCGCGCATCTCCTGCGGCGTGCCAACACCGATCGACGAGATGATGGGCAGGCCAACGTCCGTGCGCCCGCCGAGCAGATCGCACACGGGCATCCCCACGGCCTTCCCGAAGACGTCCCAGCAGGCGATGTCGATTGCGGCCTTGGCGGCCTCGTGGCCTGCGAGGGCGTCGTCCATGGCCTCGTTGATTCGGTCGACGTGCCGCGGGTCAAGGCCGATGAGGTGCGGTGCTATTTCGGCGATGCCGGCGCGGACGCCGAGCGCGTGGGCGGCGACGTAGGTGCTGCCGAAGGGGGTGCTTTCGCCCCAGCCTTCGAGGCCGGTTGAGGTTGTGATGCGGACGAAGGTCGCGTCGAAGGAGGTGTATGTGCGGTTGCGGGATAGGGTGTAGGTGCCGCCGGAGTAGGGGAGGGTTGCCTGGAAGACGTCGATGCGGGTGATTGTGAGGTCGGTCATCTTGGCTGGGATAGAGGAAGAGATGTTTTCTGCGTTGCTTGGGTTGTAGTGGTATTCTGAGCTACTTTAACCAGCTATATAATATAATCTGTGATATCCTTTTCTTCACTGTCCCTATTATCATGCGCCCTCTATTAACTGCTACCTAGGGTTAGTGGTAGTTCCCGATCTACCCGATGGCCCTGGCCAAATCCCGGCTCATCCGAAGGAGTCCTTCATGTACTAGATGTCAGGTACAGTCAGTGGTGTACTTCTATGTGTCACTGTTAATGCGCCTCACCAGCACGCCCGAGCCAACGTCGGCACACCCGAGTGATTAGCCCGAGATTATCAACCAACCGACCAACCAACCAACCCGAAATACCAGCTATAAGTGTATCCAGAAACACCCAAGACCAACCAACAACATCCCCTTTCAAGCCCTATCCAACCAAAATGCCACCCCCATCAACCCACCGCCGCGCCATCCGCCGAACAGACGACTTCACCCCAGGCACCCCAAAAACCAAGCTCGTCTCCGAACCCCTCACCCCTCTCTCTCCCACATCCGTCCTAATAAAAGTCCACGCCATAGCCCTCAACTACCGCGACGCCAACATCGCCAACGGCGGGAACCCCTGGCCCGTGACGCCAAATGGCATCCTCGGCAACGACGCAGCCGGTGAGGTAATTGCAGTCGGCGACAAGGTCAAAACCCTGGTCGTTGGCGACCGCGCTGCCCCAATCACCGACACGGAGAATATCTCGAATCGCGAACATACCCGGTCCTGGCTCGCTGCTGACGAGGATGGTGTTATGGCGGACTATATCGTGTTTGACGAGCGCGTGCTGTGTAGATTGCCGAGCTATCTTAGCTGGGTTGAGGCGGCGATGGTGCCGTGTGCGGGTGTTACGGCTTGGTCTGCGCTGAAGGGGATGAGGATTGGGCAGACGGTGCTTATTCAGGGTCTGCCTTTCCCCCAACCATATTCTGTGCAGATGTTCAGTGCTGATGGATGGATGGTCCAGGAACCGGCGGCGTCAGCGTCTTCGCCCTCAAACTCGCCCGAGCCGCCGGGCTGCGCATAATCCTCACCTCGTCCAGCGACGCAAAGCTAGCACAGATGAGCGAGAAGCTCGGAAACCCGCCGATTTCAACAGTCAACTATGCTAAATTCCCAGACTGGGAGGAGGAAGTCCTGAAGCTGACCAACGGCGTCGGCGTGGATATCGTTGTTGAGAACGGGGGCACGAGCTCGCTGGTCAAGAGTCTGAAGTGCACGAGGCGTGGAGGCGTCGTGAGCCAGGTTGGGTATCTTGCGAAGCAGGATCCCAGTCAGCTGCGTGAGCTGGTGCCCACTATTATTGACAGGAGGGTTATTTTGAGGTGAGTGGGGAATATCAATGAGATGGATACGATCAGTTCATCTGCTTCGAGAAGAATAGAGGCTAATTCAGTGTAGAGGGATCAACGCTGGGTCCAAGTTCGACATGGAAGACTTCTGTGCTGCGCTGGAGGCTGCGCAGACGCCACTTACCGATCTGATTGACAGGGTTTTCCCATTCGAGCAGGCTGAGGAGGCGGTGGAGTATGTTTGGCAGGGGAAGCAGATTGGCAAGATTGTGCTGCGTGTTTGAAGGGAAAATATCAGGCTCAATGGATAATGGGTTTACGCTTGTTTTCACCATCAGTGTGTGTTCGTAGTCTGGTAAGGACTGAGACCAGATGAACCAGACTGATATGATTGTAGATTGATGTATGTAAACATTTCCACCGTTAATATAAACTTGATTAGCAGCAAAGGGGCTACACGCCACAGCCAAAAACCAGGTCGGGTAAAATACCCTGGCAGACGTATTCCAGCCCTTGCTCCCCCGGTTGGACTGCTGATTGGATCATAAAGAAACTCATGATAACAAAGATCTTGCTACTCGGAACACCCGTCATAGTACGATGGTAGGTAATCTCGGGCATTTTATCTCTCAGGCAGAGAACCCTTCGTTCTCAATATCCATTCTCCCAATCTCAACAGGGCCGGCGGAAACTGGATGGCCGGACAGGGCAGAGTCAGGGTTTATGAATCATGCACTGCCAGTTCGTCACCAACCTGCTTTAACGATGGGGATTGTGGGCCATTCCAATTCCACGGGGCTGGAACCATGTGCGATGCGGCTGTTCTGGGCCCAGATCGATGCCTCGATTTGCCACGCGTCTGTGCTCTGTTTTTAGATTGATGAATGTTTAGCGTTCCAGATCCGCCAATGGGGATTTGGAAATGCGCGCGATGGCAATGCTGTTGGCTAGACCCTGGTAAAAGGACAGTGGAGACTGCACAGTCGGGGCGAGCCGGCTCCAGCTGCGATGCGCGATGAGCGATCAGCGCGATGATCAAATATGCTAGTCCCTGATCGTTGTTGATCACAGATCAGGGTGCTATGGCCAGCTCGGGACTAGTTGCAGGCTGCGTTCGTGGCGGGGAGAATTAGAAGCTTCAATGCAACCTTACCTACCGGGGTGCAGGTGGTTAGCGAGGTTGCCCCGGCTTGGAGATGGAGCTGGAGATTGCACGGAGTCAGGTTTGAAATGCGCACAGCACGACGATTCAGGGAGAGGACAGGCCAGACCAGGGAGAGTACCATAGACTATGGGAGAAGCACTCTGGTCCCTGCAACCATGGAACTAGGCAAATAGATTAAAAACGGCGTCCTCCGACCCTCAATACAGTAGACGCTAAGAAAGCCAAGCGGTGGCTATCACTACTAGCACCAAAGCCTATCTGCAATTCTCTGTTCAGCGTCTTGGCTCGTGAAGAATGGCAAGTTATGCCTCGTGGAAGAAGCAACTTCGGCTCCAGCAACCCTGAACTTTCTTGCATTCGGTGCCCAACGCGGTATAGCCGAATAACTGACTCGAGTAGCGCAAACCCTGCTTGTGCATTGACACTGTCCACAGCCTCTGCGGTCTAGATGGCATTGCGAGAGTGCGAGTGTGGAGCGCTTCTCTTCCCCCTCCTGCTCCACCTTGTCGACAAGGTTACGAAGTGCGATGTGCACCATGAGGTGGTCTTATAGGACTGTTCTGCCTCTGCTCCTACACCTGCATTTACACCCTGCTCTACTTCGAATCTTGCAGGATGAAGTACACGCAGCCTCTAAATGACCGCAGCCTGGCCATCGTCGTCGTCACGGCGGTCATGCTCGGTGTGGCTGTGATTGCGGTCATCCTGCGGTGCTTTGTGCGGCTGTACATGCTGCGAGCGTTCGGGTGGGATGACGGGCTGATGGTCGCGGCGCTGGTAGGATTTCCTTTCTACCGCAGACCCGCTGGAGAATGCAGTCCGTATGGTAACTGATCGGAACGCAGGTCGTGTTTCTAGCATTCGGCCTCGACTTTGCGCTCGGCGCGATGGTTGGAATCGGGCACAAGCTCGTGGACTTTCAGAGCTTTAGTATGCAGAGCGGAAATCCACAGGATACTATCCAGGCCTTGCAGCAGGCAATGATGGTGTGTCCACCAAACTACACGAGACACAACATCCCCTACTAATCAAATAACCGGTATCCCAGATCTGGTGGCTCGCCCAAATGTTCTTCGTGTGGTCGGCGGCCATCGCCAAAGTCTCCATCTCGCTCGCCCTGCTGCGGATCGCCGTCGGCCGCGTCTACCGGGGTATTCTCTGGGGCGTGATCGGGGCCGTCGTGACCATCACGCTGGTCTTCTGGTTCGTGCTTCTGCTAAGCTGCCGCCCGATCTCGTACTTCTGGGGCCAAATCGACCCCGCGACAACGGGAGGGACATGTCTGGCGCCCAATGCCATCCTTGTCTTCGCGTACTGCTACAGTGCGCTGTGCATGATCTCGGACTTAACACTGGGCATCTTGCCAGCGGTCTTGATTTGGGATCTGCAGATGTCGCCGCGGACAAAGGTTGCCTTGTGCGCAATTCTGGGGCTGGGAGCAATGTTCGTGAACTCGCCCACTGAGGCAGCACTTGCAGTCGCAGGTGCCTGCCTGGATAGACCCCAGACAAGCTGATATTGTGTTGACAGAGCAAGCGTCGCCGTCGTCATCCGCATGCCGTATCTGAAGTACTACACCGACACCGAGTTCCTCTGTAAGCTATGCATCCCCCACCAGGCACCGCCACTAACCAAATCCAGACTCCACGTACCTGATGATCATCTGGTCCGTCGTCGAAACCGGCTCGGCAATCACGGCCGGCAGCCTCATCACCCTGAAGCCCCTATTCCGCTGGCTCGTCGACGGCAGCACCTCCTCGCGCTCCTACCGAGTTAACAAGCCAAGCTATAAATGCCGGGAGGGACGGTACGCGCTGTCTATCTTGGCGCCGAAAACACCGGGGAACAAAGACGAGCCGAAGGACTGGCGGCCTGTTCTTATTTCCGAGGATAGTGAGACGATGGTAGGTACGGGGACAACGTCCGTGTTCAAAACTGTGGGCGCAGTAGACTCGGAGACTAGGACTCAAAGTAGCCAGGAGCGTCTGACCAAGGACCCGGAGGAGTTGCAGCATAAGAATCAGGTTACTGTGCACCAGACGTTTTGGACGTCGGCTGAGGACCGCGGGTAGATATGATACTGGTACTTTAAATTGTGATGGTAATTTAACGCAGATTTCTATGATGAACCACGGGCTGGAAGCAAACCTACAGTTCTGGTGGTAGTTGGATTTTCGTCCCTCGCTTAGGGCTTGCTTATGCTGATTCCTGTCGCGTGCGTCGAGCCTCCAGCCGAACGAGTACATGCGCATCAAGAGGAATAACCTTCCAAGCGTTGTGTACGAGCCGATGATATATGAATAGGCGCTTGGTTTGCCGCCGTAGTAACCCGCCTAGTATTCAAGAATCATGTATAGGGCAGGCGAGTAGATGTGCCAAACGCTTATATATCTACATCTCCGCTCACACGTAGAATGCTCGGTTGTAGGTCATGTAGATACTTGGCACCGCTCCAGCGCGCTACTCTTACTCACCAAGTTATTACAGTCCCTGTCTATAAGCTGAAAATCCAGCAACAACTCCCGGCACCCGAGTCAAGGCTCATCACCAAACGGGAGCACTTGATCTTGCTGTCACCGTACCTTAAGATACAGTATATACGGATCTGCATGCATAGGGAGGTCTGAGATAATATTGATTCATGGAATTTTGCCAGTAATCCTCCCCTTTCTCAATGTCGCCGAAGGCCCCGGGCTGAAGCTGGTTGTCCAAATGTGGCTGATTCACTGTGTCACCTCCCCCTCGTATCACATACCGTCCACACAGCATAGCCCCTGTAGCTGACGTGGCCTGGATCAATTGGCAAGGCTCTGCGGCTGAACTGGAAGATGAAGATTCTTCTGCTGATGTCCAGCTTCCCCTCTTTTCATTCTCAGCGCGCGAGCTATCTTCCTGGGAGAGGAAACCGTGAAAACCGAATGTACGACTAACTACGGCCCGCTATAGCTGCTAGCTGAGACGAATCGAACAGTCTACTGCTCTAAGTATGATGCCTGCTCTCCTAGGCATACCCGGAAGAGTCTGACTGCTAAAGCTGGCTGGAAGAGGGTGATGAAACCACGATACAGAGATCAGGCTACAACACGACACGATGGATCCAATCTCGGCTCTGAGCTTGGCGGCCGTGATTCTACAATTCATCGACTTCTCCTCGAAGCTTGTCGCCGGGACGTATGAAGTATACAATTCAGCCAGTGGCACCACTGTCGAGAATGTCCACATCACCACCATCGTCACCGATCTCCAGGCCGCAACGGGAGACATGGATGTTGATATCGTCGGAAACACGAAGCACGAGCGGGCACTCAAAGATCTTGCGTCCAAGTGCAATAAGTTGTCCGCAGATGTTGTCGTGATTCTGGAAGGGCTCCGGGTATCTGATAAAAACTCGGCATGGAAGAGCTTGAAGGTGAAATGGAGCAGCATGCGAAAGAGCGGTCAGCTACAAAGTATAGAGAGAAGACTGGACGAGTATCGGTCACAGATTCTCCTGCGACTGAGTCTGATGCTCGGGCGAGTGCTGTACCATGAGTTGGGGGGCTTGACTGCGATCGGGTGCTAATGTGTTTGGTTAGTGATCAACAGTCTTCCGTTAAAACGCAACTCGATCGCATGCAGAGTGAGGGCGAAAGACTCGCTGCAGAAAGCGCTACACAGCTTTCGAGGGTTCGGAGCGAAATCATTGACGCCGTGGAGCGACTTATGGCGGACCAAAACCAGAGCCAGCGAGAGGCTGTCACGAGGCGGTCGCCTGTCGATGAGCACACTTATACAAGACCAACCGATTCAGTGTCGTCCGTGCCTACAAGAAGCGTTCAAGTCGGCGGGAACCTAGAGGATGTCAAGTCGTTCCTGGATGTTCTGGTCTCGAGAATGACCTCGATGCCAGCGGAGAATCGAATCCTCGAGCACTTACACTTCGCCTCAATGTATAGTCGAGAGGATGCGATACACGATCCAGGTGAAGGGACGTTTGAGTGGTTTCTAGAGAGCGAAGAAGAGAGTGACAGTGGTCACGGTATCATAGGTAGCGTCAATGAACATTCCAACACACGACAGACGACAGATGATGACGCGACTGATACAGATGACGAGGAGGATTCAGAGGTTAATGACGAAGAATATGATGAGCTTGAGAGCTGGAAAATATGGTCTTTCAAGGAGGAACAGACGAGACGAAAAGCGGCACGATGCTCCTTCCTGACGTGGCTGAAGACAGGCAGTGGGATATTCCACATCTCAGGGAAGGCAGGATCGGGCAAGTCGACGCTGATGAAATTTCTCAGTTCCCATCCGAGAACAGAGGAGGAACTCACCCACTGGGCAGGGCGCAAGAAGCTCGTCGTCGCCCGTTTCTTCTTCTGGAAGGCTGGCGACGAACTGCAGAGGTCAGTTCGGGGGTTGCAGAGGGCTCTTCTCTTTGAAGTCCTCAGGCAGTGCCCAGATCTAATACCTCAAGTCTTTCCATCTCAATGGGATCTCTTCAAGCGTACGGCTGCTTCTGCGGGCACTGATAGCACCCTATTTCGTCCCGCCAACATACAGGAAGCATTTCGGCTCCTCATTCAATACACGAGGCTTCCAGCACACCGCTTCTGCTTTGTTATAGACGGCCTGGACGAGTACGACGGTGATAGTGTGGACCATATGCGTCTAGCGGAAGATCTCAAGTCTTGGGCGAACGCTGAAGACATCAAGATATGCGTCAGCTCCCGCCCTCATGTTGAGTTCCAGATGACTTTCACCGATCGTCCCGAGCAACGCCTACATCTCCATGAGCTGACGAGTCACGACATCTACATCTATAGTCGGCAAATGCTGCGATCAACTATCAAGGCCCGACAAGATGGCGACGACTGTCTGGCGCTAGTTGAAGACGTGGTTTACATGTCGAATGGTGTCTTCCTGTGGGCGTGGATAGTCGTTCGCTCTTTGCGGTCACAAATCCTTCGCGGTGACCCTATATCTGCATTGAGAGAAACTCTTGAAACTACACCAAGAGAGCTCAATGCACTGTACACGCAACTGTTGGATTCTCTGGAGCCCCACGATCAAAAAAGGGCCGCTCATGTGCTACTTCTAGTGGCTAGCAATCAATGGTACCCTAATTACACCTCCGTCGCATTCTGGTGGCTCGACGAGCTTGATCATCCTGATTTTCCGTCCCTCGAAGCGATATCGCCATTTTCTCCTGAAGAATTACAGGAGGTGAGGGATAATGTGGAACGCCGAGTGACAAGCATCACAAAAGGATTCTTAGAGCTCGTCCCATACATACCTTACAGGAACTATTCATACGACAGCGAGCTCCAAGACAAGGATGGAATGGTTGAGTTGAGCACCATTAACGCGAAAAGGTTTGAATTTTTCCACCGGTCTGCGCGGGATTTCGTTTTGGATCATCCCAGGTTAGGACAGATTGTCAATGCCAACGACGCCGTCGCCCCCGACAGATTGCTCAAACTGCGAATTGCAGAGATCTTAACCTACCCTGAGAAGTATCGGCCCGATCTTTGTGAATATCTCGAGCCTCAGATTCAGCAATCTCCTGTCCAACTGCCGGTGATATTGCTTGTAAAGTGTCGTCGTGTTCTTGAGCAAACTGCCAGAAAGCTTGGGATCTCTCCAGAGCCTACTCATCCTTCAGATAGACGGCATTTATTCGAGTCGGGGCATCCACTGCACTGGTCCTTTGTTCACTTTGCTGCGGCCCATGGCCAATCCGAATACACATTGCAGAGCGCAAAAGAAGATCCCAAGCTGCTGGCAGGGAACACAGATCTGAACTTGCTTGTCAGTGCTGCATATGGTAGAGATCATGGATTAGTTATCTCTTTACTGGATTTAGGTGCATCCCTCAACAACCATCTCGTTTGCAGCACAAAGTTTGGAAGTGATAAGCCCGTGCTTCGACCAGTTTGGCTCGTGGTCCTGAATTATACCCTGCGTGATATACTTGATTGTTACTGTGATGGCAATAACTGGAGCGAGGATCTTTCTACCTTGCTGGAGATATTACTACAACATCCAGCTATTTTTGACTCACCAGTCACGCTGACTGCAAAAGAACTCCTGCATGACGATTATATTTTACACAAACATCCTCTCAGACAGATAATCAAAGGATCGTGCCCACATAACAGAGATAGACTTCTGAAATTGGCGGCGCGGCCTCAGACAGTTAAATCGGCACATCCATTTCGGCACTTACGTTCTGTTTTCGCCAAGCGCGGCATGGGGACAATTAAAAACAATACCGAACTCGATGAAGATGGGGAAGAAGTATGTAATTGTGATCTGGAAGACCATGGTTGGGCAAGAGCGCTTAGGGCCGGGAATATATGGCTATCCAAGGTTGAGTGTGACGGTCATAGGCATGATCAAAGAGATAGGATTCCTGTGTGGTAAACGCTGCAAGAAGGATTTATGTTTTGTTTATTGTGTAATATTCAAAGGTCATATCTACATTTAATACTTCCCTTTTGCTACTGTTGTATAAAAGCCTTCGTGGCTTCGCAAGAATGGTTGCATCAACAAACCATGGGCACCCTCTGTTATGTGAAGTAACCTCTCAAACCTACATGTACCTACCTAAGTAATAACGCATCTACATCAGAATTATAGAACCATGTAATATGTTATAGGAACTCTTTACCTCGGTCCTAGTAATAGCTACGCGAAATTCCTCTGCACTTACTTCCCGAACAGCCCTATTACTACGGTACCTATGAGACCCGGATGTCTGATTACAGCCGGATATGCTTACCTACCAGGGCTAAGTATGCGACGTTTTTCCTGTAGCTCCTGCAATATCAGAATGAGAGAGCACTTACTCAGTCGGAGTGAACTGATAGACAGATGCAGCCGGTCAAATTTATCATGATAGGCTCGCAAATGCCTCGGAAGACTACACGGGTGATGCATAGCCCAGGTCAACCGGACTACGTACTGGTACAATAAGAAGGATTTACTATGGAGACTACAGTACCGCCAAATCCATATGTTCAAATCAAAGTGGAGATAGGATAGAGAAGTACATCATAAGTCTATATCACCAGGCATTTGAACTTCTCATGCTTACCCTCATCGTCAATATGCTTCACAGACAGATCCCCATTATCCCACCCAACCGTCGGACGGGCAACGACCCGACCAGGCCCCAGCATCGGGATGCTTGTGCCGGTAGTATCCAATCGAGGGTCCCCAAGGCGTGCGACAGTGCCCGGCTCCGCGTACAGTCGAAATATTCCAGACTGGAAGCCGAAAAAAAAATCTTCCCGGATGAAAAAAGGATGACCAGTGCCGGGCTCGATCCGGCGACCTTATCGGTGTTAACGATACGTGATAACCAACTACACCAACCGGCCAATTGTTAAGATTTATGCCTGGTTTTTAACATCATAATACAAATGCAAAATAAATAAGTTTTAGTGAACTTGCCTGTGGCGTTGGAGCTTGCCGTAGCCGGAGGTTTCTTTGCATTCCCGTCCATAAACTACGGGAGCCATGCCATTCAGACTGGGTGTTAGAGGGCTATGCTTCCTCTGTCTGAGACTCCAGCTGCCATCCCAGTTCTACTCGGCCGTGGGCATTGTTCACAGTACCTCAGTACGGTAGCCTGTGGCCGCGTACTCGCATCTGTATATTTACGAGGTGGCCATAATATTTCCTTTCAACGTTGTCGATTGCTCCACCTTTCAGCATATAGATGATGGCTGCAATTCAAGGGGGCCTTCATGATGCATCAATTTGCTCTCATGGCATATTCAATGCCGGCATAGTATCCCAGCTCCTATCGAATCTGGGCTTCTGATTAAACTGGCAGACTCTGGAGACAGGGATCATCGAAACGGCTGACTAGAGGCCGTTTCAAGTAGAGAAACAAGATCCATGATACTTGAAGCTACTTGAAGTACATTACGGTTAGCCTCCGATGGGGCCAGGGCCAGCGACGGGTCAATGTGAGTCACCCCGCGCTATGAGGGATTTGGAGAAGCAACCCTGCTGCCCGAGCACCTCCTCTCTCGCTACGGTTGTGCTGCTCTTGATTTCTATCCTGGGCAATATAGGCGCATTGGGTTGGGGGTTTACTGGAAGCATGCTGGCCGGCTGCATATCTGCCGGTGACTTTATTAATATTCCATGCTTTTCATCATCATTTTCGCCTCTGATACCGTTGTATATACCGACTCCGGGACGGTGCACCCGGCGGCGCTGAAGAACAAAAAGCGCAGACGTCCTTCGCTGGCATAGCTAGGAGGGGGTTACGCTACTATCCAACAATCCAAGTTAATCTCGGTCGTTACCACGCACTGTTAGACATTTTTGTCTATGCAAATCTCCTTTTCCAGCTTGGGACTCCGTCGCCCCCATGTCGTCCCGCGCCAGAACGGGTGAAGTCGTCTCATAGATATGGCTAGTATACTGGGGCAGAATGGTAATATATTTGGGTAGTTCCACTGAACGGGCATCTCTGGGTAACGTTGGCTTCTCTGAAACTGGGTCATGGGTGGTATGAGAGGGATTCCCATGGATGGGGGGTTGCGTAATGCGTACGCTTCCATCGCACCTACCGGAACCCTACAAGGCACAGAAATATATCAACGTCCGCTTCAGAGAGTCCGGCCCACCCGACACGGCATTGTCCACCTACCAAGCTGACACAGCACCGTGCGCTCAAATATAAATGGAGCAGAGCCTAAGATACATGACTTGAACCTTGTACAGTACATGGAGCAGCACTGAGCTTGAGCCTCGCCCGCGTGATGATGGGAAATCATGGGCGGGGTAGCGGGCGCCCGCGCTGTTCTTTTTACAATTGGCTGCAATACACAAAACCAAGGGCTTCCATCAACAATTGGCTGGTTGGTGTAGTTGGTCATCACGTATCGTTAACAATCCCACTGTTAAACCCGATAAGGTCGCCGGATCGAGCCCGGCACTGGTCAGTTTTTGCCTCTTACACCCCTAAGGGGTCCAGGGGTCAGGTCGAAATCTTTTTTTTTGGACGTCGGGCGGGAGGATTCGCGCTGTGATGGGGACCAGTATCCATGGATAGTCTTCTACGGGTTTGCCGCGTTTGCCCTTCCTCGGGCCAACATTTTTCAGTACTTTGTCGTCGGTTGGTACCGCTACCGCAACGATTTCTTGGGTATAGCAACCCATCTGATAATCTTAACCTCGTTGCCTTCTTACATAATTGGCTGGTTGGTGTAGTTGGTTATCACGTATCGTTCACACCGATAAGGTCGCCGGATCGAGCCCGGCACTAGTCATTTTTTTGCGTCTTGCTGGGCTGGGAATCGTGGTGTCGACGTGTCGTTACTACTACTAGTGTAGTGTAGTGTTCATGGTGGAGCCAGCTTGAAGATTTTTTGGATATTCGTATACTGCCGACACCCCCCCACACAAACGGCCCACCACTCGTAAGTAATTAATTCGTTCATCTTTGTATGATACATCCCATACATTTCAGAACAGACGCCTTCTCGAACTATGTTCGCTGCGCGCGCCGCGCAGCAATAGGATAGCAATTTAAAAAAGTATAGGTGTTGTGCAGGTACATCATATTATATGGCAAACTGCATATAAATCAATGTACCGCACAATATATCGAGTTTTGCAAGGTAAAATAGTGAAAATCAATAAGTTACAAGGGCGGTGAAATCGGGCGCGGCGAATTAAAAAAGAGTATTCGCGGCAATTTAGCAGAAGAGTTCTGGAGTCAACTACCACCTATTCAAATATATATATCTCATCGTCAGATATCGACCATTCACTAAAACAGTAAAAAACTCCAGAACTTTAAATATTTAAACACTAAAAAGACCTATATAAACTAACTTAAAGGCGCTCTTTTAATATCTCTACTTTATTTTAATTTTTATCGCGATTTCGTGGCACGATAAGTTTGCAAACTTAGGAGTACAATCATAAAGGGAGCGGCACGTGAGGTTCAAGCGCTTCGTTTAAATGGAGCTATACTTTATATGGAAACCCCTATATAAACAAAAGCCACAACAAAACCAGGCACGTATTCCTATACACACCCCAACCAGGTAAGCCCTCCACCTACCAAGCCAAATTCTATACTAATAGACCTCTGAATAGCTTTACAAATACAGGTACTTTGATTTGTATGCAATTCTCTATAGAAATTCAAGTACCAGCGCGTTGGCAGCCTTGCCAGCGTGTTAACAGCCTTGTTCCTAGCTAAATACCACGCGGATAAACCTCTAAATAGCTTTATAAATATAGGTACTTTAATTTATATGCTATTTTTTATAAAAAACCAGGTACTAGCGCGTTAATAATCTTGCTAGTATATTAATAGCCTTATTTTTAGCTAAATACCACGCGGATAAACCTTTAAATAGCTTTATAAATATAGGTACTTTAATTTATATATTATTTTTTATAAAAAACTAGGTACTAGCATGTTAATAATCTTGCTAGTATATTAATAATTTTATTTTTAGCTAAATATTATATAAATAAATTTTTAAATAGCTTTATAAATACAGGTACTTTAATTTATATATTATTTTTTATAAAAAACTAGGTACTAGCGCGTTAGTAGCCTTTAATATTAATTTATAATTAAAAAATATATTTACTACACCTTAAAATAACTTTAAAAATAAGTTTTTAAAGGTTTTTATTATTAAATTTATTAGTAAGGTACGGGTATATTAATTTATATAAAAGATTTTATAAAAATTAATATACTTATACCTTAATATAAATTTAGTAATTTTTAAGTAAGTGCGCCCTAAAGGCCTTTATTTATATTTATATATTATTTATTATATAAACTAAAATAGCTTAATTACACGGGCACGTGAGGCACTAAAACTTATTCTAATACTAAATGTGTTGGCAGTATACAAATACCCAGATTTTTTGGGCGTGGCGGACGGGATATTCGTATACTGC